CCCCCCAAATAAAAGTCTCTAAATTTTGCAAGTGTCCTATTAACAATCAATTAATGTATCAGCAGAAAGATCATTTTCAAATGAATTTGAAGAAACAATATTACATTCCAAAATCTATATTCGGATAAAACACTACTTAAATCTCGTGAGCGTCAATTGTGTGAGTGTCCAACTTAAGTTTACAAAGTCAGAGGTGAATGATGTTTCTCAACATCAACGAATGCAACTCTCACATTGTAACGATCCGGACGGTCATTTTGAGTACTATAGTCTCGTTCCCCATTTACTGCTCAATTTATGTCTTATAGTTAATTTGTGACTTATCGGGTTAGTTGGTTCGGGTCCGAAAAAATTCGGAATGAATTGAGACACTTAGTCTCATAATGGAAAGCTTAAGTTGGAAAAGTTAACCGGATGTTGACTTATGAGTAAACGACCTCGGAATTGAATTCTGATGATTCATATAGCTCCGTATGGTGATTTTGGACTTAGGAGCGTGTCCGAAAAATTATTTGGAGGTCCGTAGTGGAATTAGGATTGAAATGGAAAAAGTTGAATTTTGGAAAGTTTGACCGAAGGGTTGACTTTTTGATATCGGGGTCGGAATCCGATTTTAGAAATTGAAATAGGTCCATAATGTGAAATATGACTTGTGTGCAAAATTTGAGGTCAATCGGACGTGATTTGATAGGTTTCAACATCGGTTGTGGAAGTTAAAGTTTCAAAGTTCATTAGGCTTGAATCCGTGTGTAATTCGTGTTTTTGATGATGTTTGAGATGGTTTGAGGACTCGACTAAATTCGTATTGGGATATAAGACTTGTTGGTATGTTTGGTCGGGGTCCCTGGGGATTCGAGTTGATTTCGGGGGGTTAACGGGCCAAAGTTCGAAGTTGAAGAATTTCTGAAGATTTGTTGGTTCTGGTGTGATCGCACCAGCGGAAAAGGGCTGGCAGGTGCGATGGTCGCAGAAGCGACAGTACACACGCAGAAGCGAGGGTCTTCGCAGGTGCGGTGCCTGTTGCGCAAAAGCGCAACCGCAGGTGCGGTCCTAGGCATCGCATAAGCGATCATGGCTGGCCAAGCTGTTCTCGCAGAAGTGAGATTTTTCCGCAGAAGCAAGGGCCGCAGGTGCGACCTCTTGACCGCATCTGCGAAAGTGCTGGACAGAACTCTTTAAGTTCGGAGTTTCGCTATTGTTTTCACCATTTTTGGATTTTGGAGCTCGGCTTGGGCGATTTTGGAGAGAAATTTTTCTACACAACTTTGGGGTAAATGTTCTTGACTCCCTTGGGATTATATTTCATGAATTAATATTCATTTTTGGTGTAAGATTATCGAATCTTCAAGAGAAATTGAAGGAAATTTCTATAATTTCATAAAACGAATTTTCGAGTTTTGAACATCGATTTGGAGTCAGAATTGAGTAAAATTAGTATGGTTGAACTTGTAATTGGATGGCTTGTCGGATTTTTTTAGTTTCGTCGGATTCCGAGACGTGGGCCCCATGAGCGATTTTTGCGCTAATTTTTGAATTTTTATGAAAAATTAGTATTTTCTTATGAAATTAATTCCAATAAATTTTATTGACTGAATTAAATTATTTATGGCTAGATTCGATGCGTTTGGAGGCCAATTCACGAGGCAAAGGCTTAGCGGAATAAGAATTTCACGGTTTGAAGTAAGTAACAATTATAAATCTGGTCCTGAGGATATGAAACCCCGGATTTTGGTATCATGTGATTACTTTGGAGGCGACGCACATGCTAAGTGACGAGCGTGTAGACGTGCACCGAGGTGATTGTGACTTGGTCCGTCTCGTGGACACTGTAAAGTTGAATAACTTGTTGTTAGCTATGTGCTCTCTATATGTTGTGAAAATTTGACTGTAAGTCATATTAGAAATCATGTTTAGGCTATATGTTGGTACTGTTGGGACCCACAGAGGTGTGTACATATTGAACTATCTGCTTAATTGTTATTTTGTACTCAGTCAAAGTTTACCTGATTATTTTATCCCAATCTCTATTGTTCATTATTGATGCATCATATCATTGTTGTTTGAGCTGATTTCATGACTGTTGAGAGCCCAAGAGACTGGAGAGATTTATGACTGAGCGAGGTCGAGGGCCTGATTGTGAGATATTATACTATAATACGTGAGTTGTCCGTGCAGCACATGAGTTATTCGTGCGGATCCAGATATTTATACTATGGCACGTGAGTTGTCCGTACAGAACGTGACTTGTCCGTGCAGATTATAGCACTTGGGCTGTAGGAGTCCCTCCGGAGTCTGTACACCTCCAGTGAGCGCGGGTACCCATTGAGTGTGAGTGTTGAGGGCTGGGAGCCCAGTGAGTGATTGTTGTCTTGAGGGGTTGTACTTGCTCTTCATTTGTTGTTGCACTTAGTTGCTATCTGTCATTGTTGTGAATCTCTCTGAAAGATTTTATATCCAAAATACATGAACTTGAACTGTATAGAATTGATTTGACTTAAACTGTTGGATTTGAAAGCATGTCTATTCTTTGCTGGAATTACTGAAAATGAAGTATAACTGTGTAGCTCGTCACTATCTTCAGTTCCTTATTTATTATTGTTACTTATTGAGTTGGTTGTACTCATACTACACCATGCACTTTGTGTGCAGATCCAGGTATTCTCGGACATAGCGTGTGTTGATTCTTTCGCGCAGTTAATTTTCTGGAGATTCTGAGGTAGCTGCCGTGTTTCGCAGACCTTGCATCTCCTTCACTATCTTCTTATTTACTGCATTTGGTCTAGACTATTATGGACCGTATTTTTCAGACTTGTATTCATATTAGATGCTCATGTACTTAGTGACACCGGATTTTGGGAGTGTTTATATATGTATTTGTGAGTTTTTCTTTTGCTAAATTTAGATATTATATTTTCAAACTTAAAAGATATGTTGGTTTATTGAGATTGTCGGCTTACCTAGTATTGAGATAGGCGTCATCACAACGGGTGAGATTTTGGGTCGTGACACACATGCCAAAATTTTCTATTCTTAAGGTTGTATAGAATTTCTTAGCTCTCGTTTGGCCGTAGAATTTGGCTTAAATTTTCAAAATAAAAAATTAAAACAATGTTTATTTATAAAATATGATCATGTTTTAGGAAAAAAGATTTCAAAAATTTTCACGTTCCCAAAAACTGGTTAAGGGCAGTTTTTGGGAGGAATTTTTTCTTCCACTCACAAAACTTCAATTTTTTTCTTCAAATAAAATACAAGTCCAAACACAACTTCAACTTTCAAAATTATATTTCAACACAACTTAAAAATTTCTTTTTTCAAATTTCAATCATATCTATGTCCAAATTAAACAATAGCTTAATGATCGGTGTTTGCATCTCCTTAATTCCTTTTTGTGGCTCTCTGACGGCAAAAGCAACTATAAATGCGTATCCAAGATTTGCTAATCCACATCAAACGAAACAACCTTTTCTTTTCTGTTTTCTGTTTCTTCTAAATTATTTTAGTGCTAAACCACGCCTTGAACAACCTCCACTAAAGGCAATATGCGTTTAGAAGTTTTTATACGTCAAAAGAAGATTCACGAATCTGATAGCTATCTGGTTGCTTGATCTTAATTAAAGGAAAACTTAGTTCGACACTCTCATAAAGTCACAATTCGAAGTGCAAATACAAACTATAACCCCGTTTACTGGCCAGGAAAGATTGCTTATTAGCTCGTGTTTGTTTCTGGTTTTGGCTTTATTAATAAGAGGTTATTGAAATGTCACGAATGCACTACTCATTAGGACTAGCTTTGAATTACAAGAGAACCGTC